AAAAAAGGTACCGGAAAAAAAGGTCCCGGTAAAAAAGGTACCTGTGTAGGGAAAATTCTGTAGGGGAAAATATTTGAAATGAGAAGATTAGATTGAAGCGCTTTTTGCTGTTCCGTTTTTTTGTGTGGGTATTTTCTGGTTTTTGGTTTTCTGCATGGTTTTCCGCGTCGAGCGTTTTTAAAGTGCTTTTTATCCAACTTTTGTTTCTTATTTATGCATTTATTCTTAAAAAGTTAATTAAATATGAAAATGTTCAATAAAATTGTTTATTTATTTTCTAAGATCATGATTGTACCGGGAATCTTGACTCTATTGAAAAAGTGTGATCAGGCTATATGAAACTTTTAGGGGGGGGGAGTAAAATTAATGTGTTTCGCTTATAACGCTTCTAATAGAAATTTTTTGACAGGTATTTGCATGTTATTTTCTTTCATTTTTCGCTTTTTCTTATTTTGTAATAAGTTACAATTGATAACATAGCACAGAACCGTAGAAAATAACACATTTTTCACTTAAAAAATTACAAAAAAAGGTAAAACATTATTGAAAAATTTAAATAGTATCTTCCCGCTTTAAAAAATAATCAAAGAAGAATAAATAAATGAAATAAAATTTTAAAAAAAAAGCGTAATACAACCAGCACATAAGTCCCCCCCCCTTACCCTTCTCCTTACCTCAATGATCTAATCTGAATTATTACAGATAAAAAGAATATTCATTGAAACACTGAGAAGCATTCATGCTGCCCAGAAAGCGAGAGGGGAAATATCCCTACAGATTTTCCCTATGGAGGTACCTTTTTTCCGGGACCTTTTTTTCCCGGACCTTTTTTTTTTCAGGGACCCTTTTTCCCGTACCTTTTTTTCCAGGGACCTTTTTTACCGGTACCTTTTTTTCCGTACCTTTTTTTCCGGGACCTTTTTTTCCGTCTACCAATGGTTCAGTTATACTCACTCCCTGTACAGCTGGTTTCATTCATTTTTTATTTATTACATAGCTGCTGTTAAGGTTAAACAATCAACACTAAAGCAAAATATATGGAATATTTCTTAGAAATACCAATTCATATTGATGAAGAATTGTGAATCATCAGTTTTCCACCGTAATGTTCTTTGCTCTATATTTTCCTCTCCCATCTAATGGTTAATCGAAATTTAGTATTCGTTTAAAAGAAATTTGCATCAAGGAGTGTGATTACATTAACGAGGTTCCGCTCTGTGTGATTCAGTTGGGTGTAAATTAGCATGGTTCTTCCTGTTTGAAGAAAAGCACAGTGGCAAATTTTTGGAATGACAAAAGGGTCAGTAGAAACCGCAAATAGTAAATCACCATGTTTCCTAGAAGTTGTCAAATATATTGTAACTATGGTCATCCATCTTGTACCTCTCCCCTTCATGAGCATTGAAGGAGCGACAGGAAACTCGATCCTTGAGCATTTCTTATTTTATTTTTAGAATGAGAAATTTGTTGTTGCTTTTAAAAATAGAAAAAAAAGTAATTCATGGAATAGCAAGAGAGGAAATATTTAAGCTTTTAGTAGAAATATAATTTTACTTTCAGAGTTTCACCATAATTGGTTTAATTTTAAAAAATTAGCCATAAAAGACTGCTTTCTTTTTTTTTGAATTAGCATATTTAGTTTTAAAGACATCTATTCAGTTTGTCTCTCTTTCTTTTTGTATATAAAAAAATTAATCACATTTAAACGAATTTTGGCAAAAAAATTTTTTGGGAAAAAAAAAAGCTCTTTCTTTTTTTTCTCTCTCTATTTTTCATCTGCTTATTTCTTATTTTGCTTAAATAAAGAATAAAAGTTAGTATACTTGCTAACTAGCGCAATGACTAACATAATTCATTACGTAAAACATAAGACTCAATGTAATATGGTTAGTACATTGAGTTTTTTGTCTGTTCTTTTGCTTCCAGAAGAAGCTAGTTTTTAAAAGACTAAAATAAAGCAAAATTTTTGAAATCAACTTTTGTTTTTACATTTTTAATTCAAATCATTCGAACCATGACAAAATATTGTTGATTAAAAAAATGGCAAACTTTGATTTAAAAAAAAATGCATTATTTGTAGCTTGAAGTATTTGTTTAATGTAGCGCAGTTTTCCTCTCCATGAAGCGCAAACGCTGTTTTTGAAGGCATTTCACCAAAAAAAATTGTTCCAGTTCCTAAATTAAGAGTTTCCTTGTCTTCTGAGTTGGCTTCTATGATAAATTTGCAATCACGTTACATATCCTTTTCCTAATCTATATGATGATAAGTTAGCTACGGAGGCTTATTTTCATTACTTTTTAAAGAATGCATTAAAACTTTAATCATCTCTTGAATATATAATAAATATATAAAAATGTTAAATATATGTATAAAAAAAAAATTCAAAATTATTCCGCTCATGCTTAGAGTGATAGTGATAGACTACTTTAAAAGCTCATATTTTGAGCAATTTTGTTTTTTTACGTAAACTTTAAGATAGCAATTTTAATATTATTTGAATATAGTTCCAAAAAATTTGTTGATTATTTGCAAAGTTATAGCCAAAAAATACAAGACAAAAAGAATTTTATTTTATAAAAATGTTCATAACTCCAAAAGTACGTAAGGGTTGGCAAATAACAACCAAATTTGTCTAATCTAATTGCTTTAGTGTGTTCAAAAATCCTTGCTTTCGTTCGTAATTTATTGACTATTACGCTTTTGAAAGCTTTAAAACTTTTTTCAAGTATAGAGGAATTATATGTCCTAAACACCACTTAAGTATTTCTTGAGAAATATTTCTAAATAGCTTTCTTTTAATTCTGCTATTCAAACTTTTTTCAATGTTTTGAATGTCTCCTACCTCATAAATTATTGTTTCAGTTTTTATTATATTTTTCCTCGCTTCAATGTTATTTTATGTCATCTAACATGACTAATAGTTCAAGTTTACTTTCGAAAGAATTTTAATAATTTAGTTTACGAGCGTTGTTTACGGAATACTCTGTGTGTAAAAAAAAAGTGTGTTTTTGTGCATAAAATTTATTTTGTATGTAATATAATTTCATAGAAATTTAAAAAATTGTTTGGATTGAGCAAATTGGTTTATGCTCCTTCATTTCGTATCACAAAAACCAATATACTTAACTCCTTTTTAAATTAAGGTGGATTTTTCTGGAAGTTCGAAACATTTATTTGCGGAAAAGAAAACTAAGTTTTAAAAAGGAAAACTTCAGGGTCAAGATTTACGAATAAGTAAAAACAATGAGTTAATTATTAAACCGTATTTAACAATGTTGTGCTTAAATATAATAATAAATAAAATTGCTGAGAAAATTTTGTTCATACTATTAAAGACTATTGAACGATTTCTCAGTTCTATACTGAACATGACATATGAATTTAGTGTAGTTCTTTCTTTTGTAAGTCTGTATCATGACTTAAATATCAGTACATAGAAAAAGTTCCAATCATAGTTTCAATCACCTGAAACAAAATTATAATCTTTAATTTTTGTTTTCACGGTGAAATCACCTTATTATGTTAAATTCTTATTTTTTTTTTTTCATTTTCAAACCTCATTGATACAGATGATAAATTATATAGTTTAAAATTATTAATCATAATAACATTACGCTCGATTCCGTAAAATTTAATTGATGTAATAATTGTGCTTAATGAAAAATTAGAGATGAGCTGCAATTAAAAAAATTCTTAAAGAATTCAAATACTCCTTTAATGTGATTGCTAATAACGGCTTAGGTCAAAATATTTTCAATATTTAGAAAAAATGTTCTGATAATCAAAATTTTATTTAGTTCACTATTTTCAAATTTTATTTTATTCAATTATTTAATTTTTTTAATTATTTAATTAATAGTTTCTTAAAAATTGCAGATACATTACAACATTACATAAATCCATCTCAATTCGATAGACAAGCTAAGCTATTCATGAAATGGTGGTTAGTCAAAGTAAAGCTCTTTAGCTTCGTTCATTTTTAGAATATTTTCCATCTGAAAGCTAAGAATTCGATCTTACTTTTTCTGAGAGGCCTTCTTACTTTCCTCTTTATCAGGTAAACACCCAGATAAAATAGTTATATCATGCTAAGAGAATATTAAGGCACGCTCGTTCTGAGGGGGGGGGGCAATAGGATACCCACTATGCCCACTAACACACCTGAAAGCAATTACCAGTATCTCGACAGGTGTAGTTTTGGCGAGATATACAATTTGGATCAATTTATGGGGGAGAAGTTATTCCGTGTGCACCAGTTAACTCCCCCCTCCTCATAAATTAATTCAAACAGTCTAATAGTTCATAGTATATCCTAATATAAAATAATAATTACAATGAAATGAAAAAAAAAATAATAATACAAGAAAAATAAGAATAAACCAGTAATGATGCCTAGGAATTCGTAAGAAATAAATAAGGAAAAAAAATTAATAAATAAAATAATTAGAATAAAATTTAATGGCAAAATTAAAAATAATTAAATAAATAGAGTTAGTGCGTAATATGTCTTTCTAATAATGCAAATTCCTTGAATCTTAAATAAAAATTTAGTAGTTTATTTGTTCCAAAATTATTCAGAGAATTTAACTTTTCTTTTAATTTCATATCTATTAACTTATTTTTGCCGACTTTGTATCGCAGAGTATGACATGGTGAACTTGTGCCCGAGGCCTAAATTTTAGTTTTGCGTTATCTCTTATCCTTTTTAATTTTCAAAATCAGTAATCTTAGTGTTAAAAAAAAATGAATCACATTTTTAAAAAAAATATAATGTTTTTCAGACTTGGATAAATTTTTAAAAAGTTATATCCTTCTGCAATTAAAAAAAAACTCTAAATTATCAATCTTGTATAGAATAGTGCTTTTTTGAAATAGGTTTAAACATCGAATTCTAATTATATTATTTATATAAAAATGTCATAGAAACTGAAAGATTTTTGTTCACTGAAATAATTATTAATAATTCAAACAAATAATCCTTTACAAAACGTAGAAGTAAGCATATCATATATAAATTAATCAGTGAGGTGAAAATAAAAAAAATAAAAACCGCTAAAAAAACATTAATAACAATCATTTAATGCCTCTTCAAACAGTGAACCCAGAGCCCCGTAGGTCCTTGCGATAATAGGACCCTATTTAAGGGCATGGAGTAACATCTTTCAAATCTTTTCTAAACAAAACAAAAAAAAGTTTTAAAAAATTAAAGTAGTTGAAAGTTCTAAAACTAATTAAAGCAATATAAATTTTTTTCCCACTTCCTGGTCAAGAAAAGGTTGCACGAAGTAAATATGAGCTATTTTCCATTCATAATTTTTACATTTTTTTTCCCTATTCTGTGTTATGAGCTTTAATTTTTAAGTAAAAATCGTGATCATATTAAATAAATAACTTTGCGTTTCGAGACAGAACATTACATAATGCTTTAATAACAATAGGTATAAGATTCACCGTAGAAGATGTATTTGAATTTAAAAAAACAACTAACTTTTCCAGCAAGTAAAATACACGTTCAATCTGACAATCATCAAACCAGAGAAGCATGTTCGGTTTTATTTTGTTGCATGCACAGTTTCGAAGAGCGAAGGAAATTTTTTTTTCCTTTTCTATGCAGCTGAGAATTTTCAGTATTTTAATTTGGTTCATAATTTGCTGAACGATGGAGATAAAATTTATATTTAAATGGTATTTTGACTACTCTTGCATTTTGGAATGTCTAACAGGTCAGTCCCATGTAATCCATTTTTATGCAGCATTTTAACAATTAACAACATTGCATTTATTAGGAAGTTTGGCGTGGGTGAAGAAAGAGGCGTTAGGTAACAGCCTCTGGCATCTTTACAAACGGTGCATATCAGAGAATGCGAAAACTTTAAAACTATTACATCGTATTTTTTATAATGTTAGCAAATTTCAGGACAGATAACTGTTTTATAACCTTTGATCGTCACTGCTTGGGAAAATAACGTACAATAATGTACAAAATACAGTAGCTGCTGCGATGATTTCCATAAAAATATATCAAAGTTATCGGCCAAAGTTTTTGATATTTTTCAGTCAAGATGTTTAGATCACGTAGAAAATTTCAATCAGTCTTTATTGTTATTCACTATTTTTGGGTTATTATTTTTAGTCCCATAAAATTAATTGTTGCTTGAAAAATTTACGTATTGAAAAGTTAATTTTATGAATTGTGAAATGGAATTAGAAACAATTGAAATAAACTGATATTCATGTAATTTGCCCTGACCTAACATGGTAAGATTGGAATTACCATAACAACATCTCACAATAAGGGGTAAAATAGTTTTTTGAAAACGAAGGAAAATTTAATTATTAATAAATTCAAAAGGGGTGTCTTAATCCAAGTTTAATTAGTACCGACAGGGGTTGGACAAAATGATGGGAACACTTCGATACTAACACATTTTGTTGTTGTTGATACTTCTCAAAAAATACATCGATAATCAATTTATAAATTTGGAAGTGTTTAGATCGTGCAATTTCTCATACAGATCCATGAAGTNAAAAAATTTGACAGTTACTGCTTCTAAGTCCTGTTTCTTGGAACTTAATTGCAAACTTAGCTTTTGAATTTCTTAACTTTTCGTTATGTAAGTGCATATTGATTTCCTTATTTTAGACTTTCACTAGTGTCAAAGTATTGTTTTACTTTTAGGTTTTAGGTTTAGTAATCTTTTCAAAAAAGTTGCATATTCTATACTTCATGGTCAGTTTTGATGAAAATTTTCTCAAAATATCTTGCATTGATTTTTCGTTTGAATTTTCTGCTTATCCAGAATATTTTAACAAGCTTTTTTTGTAAAAAAGAGGAAATTTTCTACTTAAAAACTCTTTTTTCCATAAAAATTGACTCAAAAATTAAAAAAATAACTGAAAAATTAGCGTGTTTTAAATATGCACCATAACAAAAGAAGAAATGTAAAACGCAAATTCCCGGAATTTGATTTAATATTTTCTTAGAAAAGGTACATCAATGCTAGAAATTTTAACATTGTTTGATTTAAAGCATTCAACTATCTTTAATTGTTTTTCGGTCATTATTCAAAATCAATTCTAGTTTCCTCATTTTCCAGAAAGACCTATCAAGAAAGATTCATCAATTCTAAACAGCTTTTTCTTTTCATATATTTTAAATAAAAATATTTGTTTTATGTTTCTTTCCTTGTATAAAATGGAAACAATGGACAGTTTTTACAATACCGATAAAATAAATAAGTTCATACTCATAGTTCATTTATGAACAACAAAATTTCATTATGTCTGTAGCTTAGGACAATTTAACAGTTCTGAACTAATCCCGATTATTTTAAAATGCAAAACTTAAAAATTCCTTAGAATCGATCAACGTAATCCGGAGTTACACCATTTTGCCAAGATCACATCTTAGGTAGTTCACCAAACCATACACGCAATACCATGTGACAAAGCACATGACGCGAGGGATATATATACACCAGAAAGCGCCAGAATTTTAAATCACAGCTAGGAAGAATTGTCACTGCTCTTCTTAAACAAAAGGGGTGTTTGTGAGGTAGATGGAATTTCCAGGAAAAGTTTAGCGTCGCGGAACAATTTTATACTGACCGAATCCCAGGTTGACATCTCGAAGCACCTGGAAGTACCAGGACAGACAACTAGGATAGATCACCAAGACCGAAAGATTTATTCTGCAAAAGATCCTCTCTTTCGCTATAGCAGAATTTTCAATGCAGTTGCATGAATAATCCATAATCTGGTCCACCCTTTCCAGCACCCTACCCCCCTATCTTCGTGAACACTGAATTATAGCGGTTTCCATTTATTTGAGGTTTGATTTAAAAGATGCCAAAGGGTCGGGAAGTAATAGGTTTGGGTTTAAAATGGCTGTGCGTTGAAGATTCTTAATGTCTTGATACAAAGTAATGAGTTCCTTGCAATGCGTTCCGAAATTTTCAAATAGATGCAAATATTTCTACCTGACTGATTCAATTTGTCGTGGAGGTTTAACGATCTTAACAATACAACATTCCTTTCATTATATTATTCTGATTTCTTGAATGCTTATAGTATTTATAGTTGAGAGTGTTCATTCATATTTTAAAATAAAATTTAAAGTTTTGTTTAAAAGATTGAAATCTGTAGGTCTGTTTAATATTTTCGAGGACACTGAAATCAAGATATTTTAAGGTATTATGGACTACTAAAATTTGAATGAGGAATTTCATGAACATAAATTAATACAAATCATTAACATTGCCACGCCATAAAATTTATATTGCAATTTTAATGAAATTTACTGAAGGATCTGTGCAAATTTAAGTCATTAAAATGGTTAGAGTTTTATATTAATAACAGTCTTAATTTAAACAGCAGCTTTTTATTCTATTTTAGCATCTGCAATAATTTTCAAATACTATAAAAGTGCCTAGATATTTGCCTGGTAGGTGAAAACTCTACTCATCACACAGACTAGGCGGCTATTAGCAAATAAAATAAATAACAATAAATTAAAGTATTTAAATAAAAGTGTCTTTTGAGAAATGCACAGGGAGAAAAACCGGCACTCTTCGTAATTTATTAACGAGAAACTCGTATCAGTATAATCTTGAACATGACGCGCGATAGTTAATACTTATTTTTTCAAAATTTCTTTTTACAATGTTTCTATAGAGATATTATGTAATGCCAGGAAAAAACTTTCTTTATTGTTTGTCACTACATTAAAAAAAAATGGGTGAAGTAAAATTTCAATAATTGAACGTTTTTAATCTACATATTTGTAATGATTAAATTCACTGTTAGACCAAATTTTAAAGTATACGAAACTGCACACGAAAATGATGCAGCAACATATCGAAAAAATTGCGTTAAAACCAAACTTCAATTGCAAATGTACTAGCAACAAAATTCCTTTATCTCGCTTCATTTTGTCATAATTATTCAAATATTTTTCATTCGCCTTGAACTTTTCGACAATAAAAATGTCTTTCTTCACATTGAGTTTTTGGGGGTTTTAAAAATGATTTTAAGATACCTTAGAAACAAATATCATTCAGGTAAGAAAAATGTTTTCTCAAACCTGAACCTTTAAGATATGATAATCGCATTGAAAGATTTAATTAGTATAGCCCTAAATATTGACGTATTCTTTAACCTTCAAGTCGCAGCAGCAATGCTGCTAGCACAACCATTTCCATGCTGCCTATACTACAACTAGCATATTCACCAAATATTTCATTAACATCGAAAAATTAAAATATTCTCGATGTCTCACTTATAATTTTGTGTATTAAAGATAATTAGCAATAAAGGGCTGAAACTGCAACTATTTGTGCAAATTACTTCAATTATGATCGCCTAAGATCTTCGACTAACATTTCTGCTCTTCCCAATATCTTCCACACGATATTCACTTCATCAATCCACTTCACTTCAGGACGCTGCGGTTAAAATTCTCAAACTCACTCTCCACTCATTACTTATATTTTGCTTTGTTTTTTCCAGTTCGGTTGTCCTATAGTTATCACTAATTAGTGAGGAACTCCCTTGGGTATAAAGAACCGGGACTTTAGTCTCGATAAAATATGCAACTCTATTAATAACGATCTATCCCGCGGATGGGATAGGTGACAGTGACAAATGTATCGTCCCAGTCCCCAGAGGGGGATGGAGGAGAGAGGGTATGGACCAGAAGGGGGCAGAAAGAGGTAATCTCTTTAATTTCCAAAACTCAAAACCCACATGCAAATCTCCCGATTGTGGAGTGAATTGTCAGAAATGGTATACTTCATTTCTCTGTAACGATGGAAGTTTTCTTTATCTGTGGGGATGATGGGAAGACAGAATTTNAGGCTAGTTTTACGAAATTTTGTGCAATTATTGCATATTATAAGCAAATTAATAGTTATGAGTTAAAAATTTATTTTGACATTTTTTTGGCATAGGGTGATCAAAAACATTTCTTTTCGTTAGTAATTTATTCTCGATACATTGCGTCTGAAATCGCTATAAAAAGTAGAACAATTTTACAAATGGCTTATTTGAAAAATTGTAAATTATTTTTTTATTTAATAAATCATTTAACTAATTCATTATTTGTTTTTGTCAGAAATCACATATCAAACTTTAATTGGAAAATAGATAATTTTACAATTGCATGAAAGCTGTATTGTTAAATTTGAAAGCCAAATTTAATATGTTTCGAAATAAATAGGGATTTAGAGAATTTGTCTATACTCTATCTATAACATCACGTCCGTAGAAGAAATACAGCGAAGTCTAATTTTCTATGGATAATGCCCAGAATGCAAAAACAAAAAAAACAAGAAATTATAAATAAATAAATAAAAAATAAATAAATAAACCGCCAGATGTAGCAAGTTTTGTCTTTCACTTCCTGCTCTGTAGGACAAAAGTAAAAAAGGAAACTAGTTTTGGAGCAGGTGGTAGAACTCAAGCATAGACAAATAAGAATAATATATTCATATTATATATTCTTTGGCATAGAGGAAACAAGATTCTTATAATAATTATTCTTAATTATTAGCTTAGTTTCTTTTTGCGAAAAAAAAGAAAGGAAAAAATTATACTAAGCATGAATTGTGAAAAAAAGGCTAAATTGTATGGCTTAAAAACTTAAAAAGTTTCAAGCAATTTTTTTAGTAGTTTTTGTACTTAATAAAAGAAAGCGGAAAAAGATCAGGGGTTTTCCACAATTTTC